AAAGCTCCTACTCAAGGATTGATAGCCTTCTCATATCAGGTTCCAACCTGAACCAAATGGTCTTGTGTGACATAAAACAAATTACGTGGTCAGACCATGCCCCAGTTGTGCTGGAGTTAAAGAACTTATAGGATTTTAAGCACTGTAGCCCTTGGAAAATAAACGACTCTCTATTAAACGATAGGGGCTTCACAAAAGAACTTGAAGATGTAAGCTCCTACTTCACACTCAACAACACAGGGGAAATAACATCAGCAACGGTATGGATGGCCCATAAGACAGTAATACAGGGACTATTGATATGAAGGGCAGGATACATTTTAAAGATCACACAAACCAAACTTAGGGAGTGGCAACAGGAGTTATACGACCTGAATATACAAAATCAGCTTACATCGACTGTTGTAGTGAAACACTGTATACTCCAAATAACCTGACTCATACACCAACAAGCCATACCAGGTCAGCAGGCATATGACAAAACTAAAACTGTCCCACTACCTACAAGGCAATAAAGCGATCAATCTTTTGGCACGCTGCCTAAAATCTAAACAAGCGAATCAAAAAATATCTTACCTGATTGATAGCAAGGGGACTAAGGCCACAACCCCAAAAGACATCAGTGACAGATTTGCTAAATATTACTCTTTCCTCTACAATGTACGGGATGACAGTCTCAACAGACAACCTACAGACAGGGGCACAGAGGACTACCTTGATTGGGTCAGACTACCAAAACTTACACAACAACAGCAAGAAACACTCACTAAACCAACAGAGGTCCAGGAACTGATAGCCACAATCAAATCCCTATTGGTAGGGAAATCCCCAGGCCCGGATGGGCTGAACAACTCCTACTATAAAAAATTCAGTGAGACCCTAGTGCCCTACCTGGTTAAAACTTTCAAGAAGCAATTGTCACTAAAACCCTACACAAAGTAACACTTCCGAAACCAAACAAACCTCCAACGTCCCGCAAAACTTTTGTCCAATATCGCTCCTAAATACTGTCACGGGGTGGCGGTACAGAAACCGGGACCCCTGAGTATGGGTCAGAATATGGGGATCAGTCATACTATAAATTGAATGTAATGAAAATGCAGGCAATGGGGGTGGGGGTGCCCAACTACACTATAGCCCACTTGAGAGCTACATTCCCCCTAGACTGGAGAGATGACTTTCTCACCTTCTTAGGCTTGCGGATACCGAAAAATACAGCTGGTCTCCACGAGCATAACTATGGCAGACTGATGAAGATCTCTAACACCTTAAAAATATGGGAGGAAAAATACTTGTCTTGGGTGGGTAGAATAGCGGCCATTAAAATGGTTGTGCTACCGAAATTCCACTACCCGATACGCACTTTACAAATCCACCTGTCCAAAGCATTCTTAAAAAAATTCCAGCAGACACTGACTAGATTTTTCTGGGCGAATCGTAAAATATGCATAGCGAAAAAGGTATTATGTAGAACAGTAGCAGATGGCGGCTTTGGGTTACCTGATGTAAGCTTATACTACAAAGCGGCACTCCTGTCCACAGCCATTCTATCCCATAAGGCAGAAGATAGGCCACAATGGGTAGACATGGAATCAACATGGTCATGTCTGAAATGGTGGTGAATCTACCAACACTCCAAAAATGTAAATTAACTTGGAAAATGCAAGTGAGTGGCTGCTGAAAAATAAATAAGCGATACATCTCACAACCTTTACATGGATATAGGAACATGTCTCTGTGTTTTTCATAAATATAATAACCTTTTTGTTCAGATACTTCTGGCCTTTTAAAGAACATGGAAACTGAAATCATTGTATAGCAATCACATTCTGAGGGATTAAAAAGTATTTATTCTTGCTTCCTTCCAGTTAATCTTCCAGAAAGATCACTGAGCTAAACACAATATGCCAGTTTGCATTGTTCAAAACCGGTTAAACAACCATTCTGAGTTTGAAAGATTATGCAACTTTTATTTTTAATAAAAGTCTTGCTTCATTGCACAAATATTTTAGTTGCACATGTGATCATAATGTAACATGAAAAGCATTATGTGATCATACAAATTATATTTTCACAGTTAGTGTACAAATACTAGAAGATATTTTTTTTCTTTTGGCAACATTCACTACAGAATTTTACAACATACACTATTTCACATATATTTTGTCCTCCATAAAAAATAAAAGAATGGAGAATACATTGATAGTTGATGTGACACATGCAAAACACATCTTTTTACCTTCTATACATCTTGCAAATTTGGTTGGACACAAATATGTAAATGTTTTACTCAGTCTAAAAGACCAACCTGTCTTTGGCCTAACCAATTCTCTTACACTAATTTTTCAATATTACATTGTAGTTGTTATGTTAAACACTACTTGTGTAAACACGTATTCCTGACATTAGAGTGTTTTGATATTTATTCAGATGTATGCTCCCCATAAAAAAACAAAACAAAAAAAAACAAATGCAAGTTTCCAATGCGCACAAGTCTCACCATGGCCACCTCTTTTACCCTGGGTGAGATTATTATTTTTTTTTTTTTAAATGTTATTTTTTATTTATTATTAATCCAAAAATATAGACACCATGATATAACATGGACATAAAAAGATAATACAAACAGACAAGAAAAACAATCACATATCATATGAGTGATGGGTTGCATTAGATATATTTTAAGTGGTAAATGGAGAGTCAGTATTTTACATTTTTAATTTAAATTTTGTGTGACAAAATATACTACTCAAGCAAATAAATGTACCTTAAGTTGGTACCCTCCTATTTATAAAGTTGTGGTAAAAATGTACTTAACAAGTGGTTCCCAAATTGCATTTATATTACAGTTTTGTTTGTTTATTAGACTGGTAAAATCCAAGATCATTATGCAGTATTATTCTACTACCAATCATATATAACTCATATAACAATACTGTACAGACAAATACCAACAAATATAATAAGAAAAAAAAAAAGAAAAGATGGTCGGCTGGGGAGGACCATATGGGTGTGGGGGAGGGGATTAGAGGAAAGCACAGTGTTCGCCCTTATTTTGCTGATATACCTATGGGAATAGTCTCCAAAAACAACCAGAGTTAATTAAAAAATGTGACTCAGAGGTCTAAGATTGAATAATACTTGGATAATTAGATGGTCTGCTTATATTAATATCTGGAATTAATATACCCAAGCCACTTGGACCAAATTTTGTTGTACTTCTCAACTCTACCATTATTGAAAGGAGAATAAAAAAAAAAAAAAAACCTTTCAAGAGTCAGATCTAGAATTTTAAAATGTAAATCTTTGAAAAGTTGCAAAAAAAAATTTTTTTTTATCCCAATCAGTGAGGAACAGTCCCACCATATATGTTTTATAGTTCCAAGATCTTTAATGCAGCTCCAACATTGGTTAGAATAACTTGATTTAAATTTACTCAGTCTCATGGGAACTATGTACCATCTATTGAGAGTTTTATAAAAGATTTCTCATATATTTTCACAATGTATTGATTTCCTAAGATGACTAATAGATTCTACCAGTTGTTGGTAAGGGAAGGGCTTTCCTAAATCCTCTTCCCATTTCTTTATAGTTTTTAGTTTATCTTCAGGGTCAAATCTATTGATAATATGTCTGATCTTAGATGTATCTTGTGGGAATGTGTCAAAAAGGAGCGCATCCGAGGGAGACTGTCAACTAATAAAAAATTTTTCAAAAAGCTGACCACTCTCAAGTATGTAAAAATTTTGTTATATGGCAATCCATATTTTCGTTGCAACTCTGAAAAAGTATCAATCACTATATTTGAACCAAGTTGACCAATTCTAAGTATACTGTCCAGTTAATTAATTGAAGATCTTGTGTGATCAATCTAACCACCTCTAGTAGAGCTTTTTCGGAAATCTGGTTTTGTAGGAAAAAACACTTTCTTATAGTGTCTCCACAAAGTTCCCTTTCGTGTATATACCATGTTTTTTTATAAGAATTTGTATTTCCCCATTCAAGAAAATGGAAAACATTACAGTATTGTGAAGAAGATGAATATTAGGGAAAGATGAACCACCTTCTCCTAATATAGCTGTCATTATCTTACAGGCTAGTCTTTCCTTTTTGCCCCTCATACAAAAGCTTGAAATAGCTTGTCAAAGAGATTCTAAATTTTCTTCGGGACTCTTAAAGGTAACGTATGAAAAAGGTATTCCAATTTGGGTATTATATATGCTTTTAACGTATTCAATCTGTCGTTCCATGGGTAATGTTATATTTCGCCAGGATTTAATTTGATCTTTTAAGTATTGAAGAAGTTTAGTGTAATTTTTATTTACCCAGGTATTTATATCAAAGTTATAGTTCCAAGATATTAAAAAATTGAGTAGACCAATTAAATCTATAATTTTGAGTAAGAGTTAAAATGATATCGTGTGCGATAAAGCTGTTTTTTGTTCGCTCCACCCCATTGTAATTCCTGAAATATTAATTGATTGTCTGATATATTCTGCTGGAGAAAGAATTAACAATTTGTTGGAACCAGTGAATGTAGGTGCTACTATCACCTTGTGTGAATCTCTCAAACACACATAAATAGTGAGACAAAGTATAAACAAAAATAATAGTGAGAGCACTCAATAAAATAAATAAAGGTATTACCAATATTTGTATAAATGAATACCTAAAGGGATATAAAACATAAATAGACCATAGGGTAATACAGTTTGCACTTGAGTTATAAACTGTAAAATAACTGGTCAAACTCACATGTTGCTGAGTCACTTTAAAAGCTGACTCAGACTATAAGTTTATAGCAGAGATGAATCTTGGTAAGGATGGACTTCTGCAATGGTCAGGGTAGATCCAAATTCCTCTTGAAACAATCAAATCCATAAATCCAGAATGCAGGACCAAAATAAAAGATTTTATTGAAAACTTACATTAAAAACGAATGTTACGATACTATTTTAATTGACATATTTTACATTGTTTTCTATTGGATAAATAATCCTGCGGGACAAGCACGGTGCTCCCTCAGGCGTCCCCAGCCAAATAAACTTATTCAATACATATATACCAGAAATCTAAAACATTTAACAATAATACTTATCAAAGTATGATACTCTGCCATTAACAGTAACCTATCAGGTGGTTTCTCTGAAATTCATGCATCCACATATTTTTAATTCAGGGATATACAGTTGCTGGTGGTGATAGCATCTAGAAGTTTAACTTAAGGTGTAATACATTTTTGTTTGTGACTCAAAGAACACGTATACATATTTATCATTCAAGGGGAGTATATAGATAAAAAGAGAGAGGTAAATAGTGCAAAGTTCTTCCTAATCTGGTCCTGTGCTATTACCCTTAACTATTTTACTAGAGTTTTTTTTTAACTACAGTTGTCTCATTCTAGTACCTTTACTTCATTGATATCAACAATAAGATATTGTTTTATGGAACTTAATGGTACACCGAGTTTGTCTAATTGATTATTCATTAATTTAAAAATGAGTGGTAAGTGCCGATTATATACATATTCAAGCTTATCAATTATTTGTTTATACATATGAGGAATATATATATATATATATATATATATATATAAATATATATATATATATATATAGTGTATACATATGAGGAATACCAGTGTGAAATAAATGATAATTAAATTTAAATGTGAAATCTATAGAGAATAGATGTATTGCTTATTTATTATGCATAATTTGAGCACTAAAAGTACTAGATATTGATATGTACTAGATATTGATATATAAATCAATTTAAACCTTCAGAGACAACCATGATCAATATATGTTATTCTTAAATATCTCTAGAGTAGTCACAGTTGCTTCACATTTACCTTTAAATTCGCTGTTTGTATTAGAAAATGCTCCATAGATTTATCGGCAGATAGATATTACTTTGTGTTTTTAACATTGTAACTTATTGATTTTTATATTTAATTCAATAGTGTGTCTTAGATTTCTTAAAGAGTTAATTAATTTGATAGTATAACCATATTGTCTTCCAGCAATGTAGTGTGTCTTGTTAATAAGTAAAAAGTGAAGATATTTATGTTGGAACATTCCAATTTGTGATTTTTATATTTGGTTTTATAGCATGTCTTTAAGTTCTTAAAGGGTTTATTAATATATTATTATAACTATATTGTGAACCTTTCCCTTTTCCCTTCTCTTACTTTCCTTCTCTTTTTTCTTTTTCATTTTCTTTTCCTTTCCCTTTATTACAATACATACAGTAAAAACCAAAGAAAAAAAAGTTACCTGCGCTCTTCCCAAATCCCTATTTAAACAAATGGAGGGTATTTAGTTTAAACTCCACTTGTTTAAATATGCATAGAGATTTGGGAAGAGCGCAGGTAGCTTTTTTCTTTGTTTTTTACTCTATGTATTGGGGCTGATGTGTACTATGGTTGTTGCTTCAGCCCAGGAGTAGTGGGATTTTGAGCGCAGGACTTGTTTTTTTGTATTTGTATTCACTTTTGTATCATATAGCTATGTTACAATGCTGCCGCCCATCCCATGTGTTCCTTATTAAGGGTTAATAAGCATGTATGGGGTGTATATAAAAAATACCCCTCTCTGTCTCATTGGAGATATCTTTGCCAGAAGCTCAAGGAAGCAGGGTGAGAGGTTTGCCTTGATGTGGCAGGTGGGCTAAACTCTCTCATGGCCATTGGAGAAACTAAATAACTTCCATTTGTTTAAATATGCATAGGGATTTGGGAAGAGTGCATGTAACTTATTTTTCTTTGGTTTTTACTATATGTATTGGTGCTTATGTGTACTATGGCCATTGCTGCCACCCAGGAGTAGTGGGGTTTTGAGCGCAGGACTTGTTTTTTTTTGTATTTGGCTTGACAAAGTATTATTTGGAGACTGAAGCAGGGTACCTCTACCCCGATTTTTACAATTTCTTTGTTTTGATCCTTATTTTTTCTACTTAGGGCAGAGATTTCCCTGATCATGTCAGACATGTTTTGTCTAAGATCTTTTTTAATCTTTTCTTAAAAATCATCCATTAACCTGGTTAAACTCTGATGGGTAATTACTTCCGCTGGAGGATCTATTGGGTTATTTCTAATGCTTATCGGATTAAGTGTTTCCTTGGGGGCAGTGGGGGTTTGAAGGGAATGTATCTGTACCAGATATTTATTAGTTTCTTTAGTTTCTGAATTAGGGGAATAGTAAACATCAATTGATTTATTTTTTCCATTTTATCCCCCGGAAGAGGTTTTTTGTGTGGCATTTTTGGATATTATTAGTGCCTCCTAGATATTCTCTTTGAGTGTTTTTTGTTTTCCCTTTTTTTCCCCTCTTTTATAACTTTTTCCTTCTCATAGGTATCAAATAAGAAAGAAAAAAATCACAGAAAAATTCCCACAAAGAAGAAGAAAAATAGGCAAGCTATCAATCAGTATATCGATAAATCAAGCACATTTTTTTGATTATCATTAGCTCAATCTGGCAAAGGGTTCAAAATGCACCTATTTTGTTGCAAGTTTGTAAGTTAACTAACGTTAACTAAAACAATTCTATGCACAGTTCCAAGAGATATGATCTTCTTATGTCTTCTGGTGTAAACTTAAATATGTATACATGGATGTGCTTATCTGAGTTTGTAGGTGAGTTTATAGAAGAAAAATCCGTAGGCTGGATAAATGGTGTTTAGTCTTGAGCAGCTGCTCCGTTTATGGACCGTTCCCATTCTGTCTTTAAGTATCGGCCTTTAGCAATTTCAAAAACTGCCTACTTTGCACAGTTCGTTCTATATACCTTGGCGCTGGAATTTAGATCTTTATATAAAAGTTGAGCTCAACCTTGCGGCTGCCTTGCGACTTGATCAAAGCTTGTATAGCTCCCTAGTTTGGTAACTTTCCCCTGCAGTGCTTCTCTGCTCTTCCCGCCACACGGATTTACAGCTCAAGCACACTCTGTAATTACTGCATTCCCAGGGGTTTTCTCCGATGTGTCAGCAAGGTATTACCAAGTGCCCAAAACAAATTTTCTGCAGGATTCTCTCAGATTCTCTTGGGTTAACTCACAATGTGCACACACTCTCTCAGTATTCTCCTAGTTAATCTCAAAACGCGATACAGGGATCCACAAACAGCATAATCACGCTCCCTCTTTGCTCATCACCACAAATGTGTCTGACACCACGTGTCAGTTCAGCGTCCTACGTCATAACCCCATAGCTCATTCTAAGTGAGATTAATATTACAGATGATCTCTGTATAGATAAATATTGTAATTACAATTATTCAATCCCCATTGAAAATCAGGTTTATTGTAAACATTTACAGACTTTCAGCTATTTGCAATGAACAAATCAAACAAAAGTAATTGAAGGAGCTGGTTTAGTGATTTTCCCAAATTCAACTGAATGCAATTTATAATGATTTCTACAGTTTCAAAATTATTCAACCCCTTCATGGCAAACATCTTTAGTTCTTAGTAGAGCACCTTATTGCTGTAATGACCTGCTGCAAACAAAATGCTTCTGGAAGTGTTCCTGAGGAATCTCAGCCCATTGCTCATGAGCAATGGCCACCAATTCAGTAATATTCTTGGGTTTGCGTGCTGCAACCACCTTCTTCAAATCCTACCAGAGATTTTTTATGGGTTTTAAGTCAGGTGACTGTGATGGCCACTGTAGAGTTTTCCAGGATTTCATCTGCATCCAAGCTTTGGTGGAATTTGAGGTATGCTTGGAATTGTTTTTTTTGGAAAGTTCAATGATGACCAAGGTTCAGCTTTCTCACAGGATTTCCTGGTACTTCAATGAATCCATCTTGCCATCCATGTGCTGCAGGTTTCCAGTGCCAGAGGATGCAAAGCAGAGCATCACCGAGCCACCACCATGCTTAACTGTAGGCAGAGTGTTCTTTTCAGCGTATTCTTCATTCTTCTTCTTCCAGACATACCACTCATCCATTGGGCCAAAAAGGTCCAGTATTGTTTCATTGGTCCACACAACAGAATTCAAAAACTTCTGTGTGTCTTATTTACATGATTTTGAGCATATTTGAGTTGACTTTTCTTTTGCTTTTGGGTTAGTAGTTGTTACATCTTGGAGTTCTGGCATTGAGACCTTCTGCATTTAGTGTTCTCACCAAAACCTCAGTGCCTGCTGCCATCATGTCTTGCTGCAGTCTTTTGCAGTCACTTGAGGGTTTTTCACAACCTGCCTTCTAAGAAATCTGGTTGCAGCCATAGGCAGTGTAAACATGGTTCCTTCAACTTTGAACTTGCAAACTATGCTTCCAACGGTGTCCCTAGGAACATTCAGTGCCTTCACTATCTTTTTGTACCCTGTTCCTTGTTTGTGAAGGGTGATGATCTCTTCTCTTAACTTTGTGGACTATATTTTTAGCATGCAGCCAAACGTGACACTCAACAAACCACTAGCCAGTTCAGGTATTTCAAGTGTTTCAGCTCAAGCACACTTGGTGCAACTAATAAAGCACTTGATTAGTTCCATCAGGTGTCCTTGAGAAAACATCTGTTTTGCATATTTGTGCTATTGTGAGAGATTCAATTCAGGGGGTTGAATACTTTTGAGACTAGAGAAGTCATTATAAGTCTAATTTTCAGTTTAATTTGGGGGAATCATTTGAAGCATTCATTGTGTTGAGCTATTTCATTAGCTTTTGTTTGATTTGTTCATTGCAAACAGCTAAAAGTCTGTAGATTTTGGCAATAAACCTGATTTTCAATGGGGGTTAAATAATTTTGTAAAATCTGTATATGGTTATACGATTGCACAAATATGACTTTGTAGTGGAGTGTTCCGTTTAAAGTAGTGAGTAACATTAACATACACTTCTGTAAGACAACATTGTCTGCTTGCTATTTAATATCCTACTACTAGAGACCAGAACCAAAATAATTAAAATAATAATAAAAATCTAATTTAAAATGTGCATTGACAAAACTTCCTAGCTCTTTAAAGATAATATTCATAACAGTAGCCTATAGTTTAAGTTTCAGGAAACAAAAAATATACATTTTTTACAATCTAGAACATTTATTTACCAAAAAAAAAAGAAAAAAGCATATTAAAACAGCTCTCGGTGGCACTAATGTTTGATAACAAACTTGAAATTCCAATATTAATAAATGTGGGAGTCTAGGCCAACACCCATGGCTTTGCACACCTCCATGTCATTGGAGCCTCATTCCAGGGGCCAATTTAACCTTGCAATGCAAAGATCTCCAGGAGGAAGGATTTCCCAGGTAAGCTGGGGTACATTGGCGTTGTGGCAGGTTTATGCAATGTATGATCATATACTGAACTAAACCCCATTCTTTTTGCCAAAGTTAGGTGTTTTTTAAAAAACTATTACATTATGTGAGCTTTTAATTTGATGTTGTCATGCGTGGCGGTACGGAGACTGGGACCCCTGAGTGCCTGATGATGATGGGAGTCTCAGTGTGGAAATGGACTATCAGGGCTTGGTGCAGGGTAACCACACGCCCCCTGGTGTTGAGCACTAGCATTAGCACTAGCAGGGCCCTGATGCAGCTTCTGCGGATCCGGGAGCAAATAAATATATGCAGAACTCCCAGGATATGGATAGGGAGGCTCTGCAGCAGATATGTATCCAGAACAGAAACAAGGCATGACTAGAACAGGCACCTAACAAGAAAACAAGACAAGACTAGAAGAACCCGGAACCAGAGCAGGACAGAAAGCAGAGCCCAGAACATGTACACAAGACATGAGGGAAACATGAACAGGGCAGAACAGGACTATACATGAACTGGGAAGACAAAAAAAAATTAGACATGAGATGCAAGGCAAAACAAGAGGAGACATAACTAAGTACTATATATGTTAAACATTGGAGATTTAGACATACATTAATGGCCATGATGTATGCAGTCCACCACTGCGCAAAGTACTCCAATTAAGGTGGGTTCTAACTGCCTAGATATGCATGATTAAATAAACAATAAAACACACAATACTTACCTGCAAAGAAAGGAGCAGATGAAATGATACCACTGCTTGCATGAACAGGCTGAAACAAAAAGGATTAATGGAAAAGGAAAGGGTGTGGCAGCAAAAAACAAACATTTAAAGGAATCCAGGAGACTGGGGATTCCAGGAACGGAATAAAGGAATGAACCCAGAAAACCCAGCATAAAGAAAACCAGAAAAACTAAACAAGAATTGTAAAAAGAGTACTGGATACCAGAAGCTAAGGCCAACCATCTCTGCAGAACAGAACAGGATGTGACAGATGTTTAGTGAATAAGTGAGTGCACTGAATCATGTTTATTGAACACTTAAAGAAACACTAAAGTGTTAGGAATACAAATGGTTATTTAATATATATATATATATATATATATATATATATATATATATATATATACAATATGATCAAATTATCTTGAATATTAAGAGAACAAAATTGAATATCTCTTGGATATTGATACAAATAGAGCCTCTGTAGAAAAGTTAGAGTTCAAGTTCTCCCTCACATTTTGCCTATAAAGGGGGAAATCCTCCTTCAATCTATTCTTTGCTTTACATTAACTTTTTTAATGAGGGATTTAGAATAACCTCTTTGTTTAAATAGTTGTTGCAAACAGGAAGCATGTCACTCAGGGCTATCCAGGTCTGAGCAATTTCACCTCAGGCAGACAAGTAATGGATCGCCATTAACGATATAAAAACGTATTCTCAGAATGGTCGGTTGCATAAGTGAAATGCAAATTCAGTTCATTTTTGTTTACATATTCCTGTAATATCTGTAAGTTTTTCATCCCTATGGACCAAATCAGCAACAGGTCATCAAGGAAACGTACACAGAATACAATGATGGGTCTGAAGAGGTTACTATCTAAATAGACATGACTCCACTCACACCATCCCTTTAAGAGGTAATTGTATGAGTGTACAAAAAGTGCCCAAAGCAATGCCATGCATTTGGAGATTTTTTTATTTATAAAATATTTTGCCAAGGAGGATACATTGAGATTTCTCTTGTTTTCAAGTATGTTGTGGGCCCACAAAACATTGCATTGTTACAATAGGGTACAACATTACAAAAATACAAATATACAAACAATATATATACAGAAGACCATGAGTTCTGCCAGTTTTACTTTTGTTTGGATATTAAAGCCCCAGGCTGAGCACCCGGCAGGTATTTACATCTATAGCCTGAGTGCAAGGACTTTCCACTGTGTGTGTGTGTGTATATATATATACACACACACATACATACATACACATATATATATATATACATACACACACATATAAATTGAACATATAATAGGTAATAAATGTAGTCAACCATAACAGGTACATTCTGTATTGATGTATATTGCCATAGATCTCTTAAAATATTTTAGATTGAAGATAACAGTGCCCATTGTAAATAAAAATTATTGTGTGCAAAAAGAAACCATAAACTGTCTAACACAAAAACAATTTTATTACGCTGTTTAACAGATTGTCAGTTAAATGTCTACATAAAAAGTGTCAAAACGCCTTTAAGTAAATACCTTGTTATGTCTGCTTTATATAAACATATACTTTGTGGTGGCAATTTTGTTTTCTGTGATGGTTAATAAATAAAGAAGAAAACAAGTAAAGAAGCATGTCAAATTCTAAAATAATTTATGATGTGCTCTGTAAACCAGAAAAAATAAATTGAATCACTTGAATCACTAGGTGCACTAATAATATAGATATAAATGCCAAAACTGTGGGAAAAAAAAGTAACTTTTTTTTTTTTTTTATAACAAATGACATTTTATATATGTATACACTATTCACTTGCTGCCTAATATATATCCCACAACTTGACGGGTGCCATTGTAACGATATAATCTATGTTTTTCACTTCATTTATCAGTGGTTTTAATGTTGTGGTTGATCAGTATATATAGTATATCTATATATTATATATGCTGGTGCAGTAAATCAGAAATATGTAAATTAAGTTTGAAAGCGCATATAGCAAAAATGCCAAAATTGCTTTTGTCAAAAAGAACAATAAAAGCAAACTAAGATTGTGTCACTTAGTGGTTTACTTTTCCTCTTCATCTTCAGTCAAATTCTAAAATAATTTATGATGTGCTCTGTAAACCAGAAGAAATAAATAGATTTATTTTGAATCACTTGTCTTAAGGTGCACTAATACTATACACGTACAGGTGATACTCAAAAAATTTAAATATCGTGCAAAAGTTCATTTATTTCAGTAATGCAACGTAAAAGGGGAAACTAATATATGAGAGACGCATTACATGCAAAGCAAGATAGTTCAAGCCGTGATTTGTCATAAGTGTGATGATTATGGTTTACAGCTCAAGAAAATTCACAATCTCAGTAAATTAGAATATTACATGCAATCAATAAAACAAGGAGTGTATATAGGACAATATCGGACCTCTGAAAAGTATAAGAATGCATATAGTGGAAAATATTTGAAGGGCTATTAAGGGATAATATTCAGGAATTCATTGGGAAGAACTTTGTTATTAACAATAATCAGCATGGTTTTAGGAAATATAGGTCATGTCAAACTAACCTAATTGCATTCTACAAAGAAGTAAGTAGAAGTATAGATCAGGGTTTTGCAGTGGATGTGATCTACTTGGATTTTGCCAAGGCATTTGATACGGTTCCTCACAATAGGTTAGTATTCAAACTAAAAGAAATTGGTCTAGATGAATATTCTTGTTCTTGGGTAGAACATTAGCTTAAGGATAGAGTACAAAGAGTTGTCATTAATGGTAAATATTCAAGCTGGACAGAGGTGGCAAGTGGTGTCCCTCAGGGGTCTGTTCTGGGACTCCTATTTAACATGTTTATAAATCATCTTTAAGACAGCATTGAAAGTCATGTTTCAGTGTTTGCAGATGACACAAAACTCTGTAAAATAATAAAATGTGAGCAAAATATTACTTTGCTGCAGAGGGATTTAGATAGACTGGGGGACTGGGCACTCAAATGGCAGATGAAATGTAATGATGAAAAATGCAAAGTTATGCACTTTGGCGTAAAGAATACACAAGCAACGTATACCCTTAATGGAAGCGAATTAGGGATAACAACACACGAAAAGGACTTGGGAATTGCTATAGACAACAAACTATCCAACAATGTGCAATGTCAATCAGCAGTGGCCAAGGCCAGTAAGGTATTGTCATGCATGAAAAAGGACATTCATTCTCGGGACGAGAATATCATTTTGCCTCTTTATAAATCACTGGTAAGAACACAAATTGAATATGCTATGCAATGTTGGGCACCTGTTCTAAAGAAGGATATTATGGCTCTAGAAAAAGTGCAGAGGCAGGCTACAAAATTAATAAAAGGAATGGAACATATCAGCTATGAAGGTTAACAAATTTAAACCTATTTAGTTTAGAAAAACGTCACCTGAGAGGTGATATGATAACATTATACAAATATATTCGGGGCCAATACAAACCATTGTGTGGAAATCTGTTCACAAACTGGACTTTACATAGGACACAAGGTCATGCGTTTAGACTGGAAGAAAGAAGATTTCGTCTAAGGCAAAGGAAAGGTTTTTTTACTGTAAGAACAATAAGGATGTGGAATTCTCTGCCTGAAGAAGTGGTTTTATCAGAGTCCATACAGATGTTCAAACAGCTACTAGATGCATACGTGCAAAAACAGAATATTCAAGGATATAATCTTTCAATGTAGGGGAATAACTGCTTGATCCAAGGATAAATCTGACTGCCATTCTGGGGTCAAGAATGATATTTTTTCCTAGCTTGTTGCAAAATTGTGCTTCAAACTGGGTTTTTTGCCTTCTTTTGGATCAACAGCAAAAAACAAATGTGAGGAAGGCTTAACTTGATGGATGCAAGTCTCTTTTCAGATATGTAACTATTTAACTAGGCATCTCATATATTAGTTTCCCCTTTTACGTTTTTCGAGTATCACCTGTAAATGCCAAAACTGTGAAAAAATTTATAATGTTTTTTTTCTAATAAATTACATTTTATAAATGTATACACTTATCAAACTGCAACATTAAAACCATCTAATATTGTGTAGGTCCCCATCTTGCTATCAAAGCAGCTCTGACGTGACAAGGCATGGACTCCACAAGACACCTGAATGTGTCCTGTGGTATTTGGCACCAAGACATTAGCAGCACATCTTTTAAGTCTTGGATCGTATTTGTTGTTCCACCACATTGAGATCTGGTGGAAATCGGGGGCCAAGGCAACACCCTGTACTCTTTGTCATGTCCCTCACACCATTCCTCATTTATTTATTTACGCATTAGGTCTCCCCTGCCGACTTCAGTGTTAGGAGCGTGGGCAGAGCCTAATCCAGCACTGAGGGACATTGGCTCTGGATTCAGGTAAGACACTGAAGGCGCCTTGCGGGAGGGGGGGGGACATGAGTGAGGGGGGGTGGGACTCTAGGATTCTATAATGCCAGGAAAATGGCTTTGTTTCCTTGGCACAATTGAATCCCTTTAAATTGTTTTGGGGGTTGGTGTCCCTGGGAACCTTTTTACTTTAAGGTGTTAAAATGTTTTTGTAATATTTTAGCACCAAAAATAAGACCCCAGGCACCTGTCAGTCCTAGATCCCCTGTCTTCTGCTCAACCACTGTACATGAGATTAATTTATTGAATTGTTGCCTTGAGATCTGGTGATAGACTGCAAACATCAACACTCTTACGCTATCACTAACTGCTTATTGCGAACAAAAGTATGTATGCTCTTGTCAATGGCACTGTGATGAAAGTATCCTCATCACTGGCTTTTGGAGGGGCCTGTTTGCCAGCCTCCTACCCTGTGATTATGGCCCTGTGACAAACTGAACCTCATCAAGCGTTCTTGGAGGGGCCTGCTGGCCAGCCTCTTGCCTCAGGACTATGGGCCCTGCAACATACCTTGCCCAATGCACTTTAAAAGGCTCTGTTCCTGTGAAGTATGTACTTTGGTACTCCAGGCAGAGAAACCGACTGTTTTGGGCATGGGACCATGTGCATGGTGGGTCAAAAATAAGACTTCCAGGAAATTCCCCCCCTGAACCGATCCGGGTGATTTTTGGATATGTTGTTCACCCAGATCGGGGCTATCAGGGGATGTAACTATGGGGTTTTATGTGTTTTTAAGGTTCTTTTTGGGGTTTCATAAAACTGTATGTTTTTCTGTGCTTGGAGATAATTAGGTTAGATTAATACAGTTCCTGATTCAATTATCTCCCAAGCACAGAGGAGGGATTCAATTGTTTGTGTATGGTAGGTCTCAATGTATGACTCACTTTGTATCCCTGTGCCCAACAAGGTCCACCTGGGTGTCACCCTTGTTGGGAAACTTGCATAAAAGTCCAGCTGTGGCTTCCATGAAACAGAATGCTTTACCCCTTCATGAAGTCCTGGCTTATGTCTGGGGATTGCTATCTATATCACAATATTCCCCTGAGTGTAATCACTAGCTCTTTTAAGAGCTGTTCCTGCTACGCTCTCTGGACTAGGAGAGGCCAACCCACTGGAAGCTGTATCCTGGTCATGGGTCCAGGGTGGGTGGAGGACGGAGAGACCCCAACCATGTTTACAGTGGTTATGGTGTTCCAGTGCAGTGCTGATGGCACTCACAAGTACTAGGAAGCAGCGATTGACAGAGGTACCCGGTCGGGGTGCAAGGCGGTCCGTCACCGGTAACACAATATAACAATTCCTCTTCTGTACAGTGGAAAAGCAAAGGAAATGGGAGGCAGTGACTAAGGTGAGATAGGGCTTAACCCCAAACCTACTTAATTGAGATGAAGTTGTGTTGAAGGTAAAATGTCCCTTTAGCTTTTTGCTCTCTCGTGTGTGTGCATACTGCTTATACTCTTGACTTCAATTAAAGTAGGTAAGGTCCATTACCTTTAATCTCATCCAGCAAATGTTATATATGTATATGCTGATAAGGTAGCTCAGTGGTAAATTCCCTGACACCAAAACCTGTTCAAAAAAGGTCACAGGTTCAAGTGCCAGCAGGGGCAACTCAGCCATTCATCCTTCCGAGGTCTTTAAAATAAGTTCCATTAACTGGTTAATAATAAAATGTATTACTATTCAGCTGCTGATTTGGTTAATTCTAAAAGAGCATGTTCTGAAAAGTGTTTTGAGTCCCACTGGGAAGATGTATTCCTAACACTAACTATTCCTTTGCTCTACAACCTCCCCTCCCCCAGCAATTTAAGGGGTCAAAGTAGGTAAGGTCCACTACCTTTAATCTCTTTCAGCAAATGTTATAGAGAGGGAGAAAATTTAAGGGGTTTATACATACTGACATACATATACACACACATACTGACATGCATACATATACACACAGACAGACACACATACATACACATGCATACATATACATACATTCTGAAATACACATACATACTTACTGACATAGATACACTCTGAAATACACATATATACTGACATACATACTGACATACATGCACATACAGAGGGGTTTAAGGGGTTTATTAACCCTGTATTCACCCTCGGCACTGGGTTATGTTCTGCCTTTTCTGATGGGTGGAAGGGACCTAATACACATACGCAGCACATGCATTGCCTCAATACTTTCTTATGTGGTTTTTCTTGATGCTGGATGCCCTCATGCAGAGTGTGAGGACATCCAGCATTGTTTCAAGGAGTCAAACACTTGGGAACTTCAGGAAGTGCCTCTAGAGACTGTCTGGTAGATAGCCACTAGAGGCAGTCTTAGTACTGCAATGCAAACATTGCAGTTTCTCTAAAACTGCAATTTTTCACATAGCATGACTAAGGGGAGAGGGACACTGCACCCAGATCTCTGTAATGAGTGGAAGTGGTCTGAGTACCTATAGTGTCCCTTTAATTTCAGATGTACAGTCATATGACTTTACATAGCAGGACATAATAGCAATCATCTATTCATTAGCACAGTGATGGCGAACCTTTTTGAGCCCGAGTGCCATAATACATGCAATTAAACCTGAATACTTTTTTTTCCTCAAAGTGCCAACACAGCAATTAAACCTGAATACTGAGGTTTAAGTTTAGAAAAAACAACTCGTACAGTTGTCCGAACTAATTAACATCTTTTGTTTTAAAAGAAGAACACAACAGAGTTTTTAATGATACAAATTTTATATAATGATATAAATAGATACAATTAAGATTATATTTATTAGTATCTCCAACAAATGCAATACATACATACAATATATACACACAGACTGCTGAACACATTCACCCACCCACTGCTGAATACATACACACACCGACTGCTAAATACATAGACACACCGACACACACACAGACTGCTAAATACACACACATACTGACTGCTGAATACACACACAGACAGGTGCCTACTTTGCATTGCTGCCGACCGGTGTCTGCGACCTCCTCCCCCGGTGACCTATGGCTGTGCGCCCACAGAGAGGACTCGGTGTGCCATCGGTTCTGCCTTAGCAGTTCTTAAAATTAGATAACCTCTGATAAACAACAACACATGACATATTACTCTGTCATGATTTATTTAACAAAATTAAATCCAAAATCGTGAAGCCATGTGTGAAAAACTAAGAACACCCTTACTGCTTCCAAAGGAATTAGGAGGTTAAGTAGCAGACAGGTGCTGCTAAGCAAATGCCTTTGATTAATTGACTATCAGCAAGTGTGACCACCTCTATAACAGCTAAAGTTTTAGCACTTTGCTTGTCTGGAGCATTCAGGTGTGTGTTAACACAATGCCATGGAGGAAAGACATCCGCAATAATCTTAGAGAAGCAATTGTTGCTTCCAATCAAACTGGGAAGTGTTATATCCAAACACTTGAAAGTCCATCATTCTACAGTAAGAAAGATTATTCAAAAGTGGAAAACATTAAAGACAGTTGCCAATCTTCCCAGGAGTGGACATCCCAGCAAATTCACCCTGAGGTCAGACCATGCAAAGCTCAGAGAAATTGCAAACTATCAGATAGTTACATTTCATAATCTACACGCCTCAGTTAGCATGTTAAGTGTTAAACTTCATGACAGTACAATTAGAAAAAGACTGAACAAGTATTGTTTGTTTGGTAGGGTTGCCAGGAGGAAGCCTCTTCTCTCTAAAAAGAACATGGCAGCACTGCTTAGATTTGCAAAGTTCCATCTGAGCAAAGGACAAGATGTCTGGAATATGTCCTTTTGCCATAATGCACAGTGCCATGATTGGTGAAGATCAAACACAGTATATCAGCACAAACACCTTTTTTCAACTGTCAAGCATTATGGTGGAGGGGTGATGATTTGGGCTTGTTTTGCAGCCACAGGACCTGGAAAACTTGCAGGCATTGAGTAGACCAAGAACTCCTCTGTATATCTGATATTCTATCATCTAATATGAAGCCATCTGTCCGACACCTAAAGCTTGGTGGAAATTGCGTCATGCAATAAGATAATGATCCCAAGCACATCATCAAATCTGCAACATAGTGCCTGAAAAATATAATAAAAGTGTTGCAATGGCCCAGTCAAAGTCCAGACCTCAACCCGATTGAAATGCTGTGGCGGCACCTTAAGAGAGCTGTGCATAAACAAATGCCAGCAAACCGCAATAAACTGAATCCGAGTGGAGCAAAACTCAAACAGAAAACAACTACTTCAGGTTATTGCTGCTAAAGGTGGTTCTGCAAGCTTCTGCATTATAAGGCTTCTCCATGTTGGCTTTATTTTTGTTAAATAAATCAGGACACTGTGTAATATGTCCTGTGCTGTTGTCAGGGCCGCCTTCAGGGGGTGACAACCATGATGGTTGTCACGGGCCCCGCGGCCCTGGGTAGCCCGGTTGCCCGGACCCCAGGTTTAGCAGGGGAACTGCTGCCGGTGCAGCTGCGCTGGGGCCAGCGCGCTGATAGCTCAAGCATTGGGCCACCCGATGGGCCCTATATCTTCAGGGGCCTGGTCAGTACTAAGGCCGTGCAATAGTGCAACTGGGCCCATTTAAAAATTGCAGCCGCAAGTAGTGACTTCCTCCCAGGGAAGAGAGACAGGCTGCAAGAACAGGTGAGCCACGCTGACTCCCATCAGTCCCAGTCACCCTCCTTAAAAAAAAAAGGTAAGAAAAAATAGCTACGTGGGTGTGTGCATGTCATTATGTATGTGCGTATATCTGTATGTGCATGTATGTCAGTATGTATCTGTATGTATGTCAGTATATATGTGTATTTCAGAGTGTATGTATGTCAGTAAGTATGTATGTGTATTTCAGAATGTATGTATATGTATGCATGTGTATGTATGTGTGTCTGTCTGTGTGTATGTGTGTATATGTATGCATGTCAGTATGTGTGTATATGTATGTCAGTATGTATGTACATATGTCTGTCAGTATGTACATATGTCTGTCAGTATGTATGTATGTGTGTATCTATGTCCTTATGGGTGTGTGTGTGTCTGTACAGGGAGTGCAGAATTATTAGGCAAGTTGTATTTTTGAGGATTAATTTTATTATTGAACAACAACCATGTTCTCAATGAACCCAAAAACTCATTAATATCAAAGCTGAATATTTTTGGAAGTAGTTTTTAGTTTGTTTTTAGTTTTAGCTATGTTAGGGGATATCTGTGTGTGCAGGTGACTATTACTGTGCATAATTATTAGGCAACTTAACAAAAAACAAATATATACCCATTTCAATTATTTATTATTACCAGTGAAACCAATATAACATCTCAACATTCACAAATATACATTTCTGACATTCAAAACAAAACAAAAACAAATCAGTGACCAATATAGCCACCTTTCTTTGCAAGGACACTCAAAAGCCTGCCATCCATGGATTCTGTCAGTGTTTTTGATCTGTTCACCATCAACATTGCGTGCAGCAGCAACCACAGCCTCCCAGACACTGTTCAGAGAGGTGTACTGTTTTCCCTCCTTGTAAATCTCACATTTGATGATGGACCACAGGTTCTCAATGGGGTTCAGATCAGGTGAACAAGGAGGCCATGTCATTAGTTTTTCTTCAACCCGAAAAGGCCCCATAAGCTCATCTTTGATGATACCAGCCCAAACCAGTACTCCACCTCCACCTTGCTGGCGTCTGAGTCGGACTGGAGCTCTCTGCCCTTTACCAATCCAGCCACGGGCCCATCCATCTGGCCCATCAAGACTCACTCTCATTTCATCAGTCCATAAAACCTTAGAAAAATCAGTCTTGAGATATTTCTTGGCCCAGTCTTGACGTTTCAGCTTGTGTGTCTTGTTCAGTGGTGGTCGTCTTTCAGCCTTTCTTACCTTGGCCATGTCTCTGAGTATTGCACACCTTGTGCTTTTGGGCACTCCAGTGATGTTGCAGCTCTGAAATATGGCCAAACTGGTGGCAAGTGGCATCGTGGCAGCTGCACGCTTGACTTTTCTCAGTTCATGGGCAGTTATTTTGCGCCTTGGTTTTTCCACATGCTTCTTGCGACCCTGTTGACTATTTTGAATGAAACGCTTGATTGTTCGATGATCACGCTTCAGAAGCTTTGCAATTTTAAGAGTGCTGCATCCCTCTGCAAGATATCTCACTATTTTTGACTTTTCTGAGCCTGTCAAGTCCTTCTTTTGACCCATTTTGCCAAAGGAAAGGAAGTTGCCTAATAATTATGCACACCTGATATAGGGTGTTGATGTCATTAGACCACACCCCTTCTCATTACAGAGATGCACATCACCTAATATGCTTAATTGGTAGTAGGCTTTCGAGCCTATACAGCTTGGAGTAAGACAACATGCATAAAGAGGATGATGTGGTCAAAATACTCATTTGCCTAATAATTCTGCACTCCCTGTATGTATGTTAGTATGTGTCTGTATGTTTGTGTGTCTGTTTCAGTATGTGTGTGTCAGTATGTGTGTAACTTTTTTGTGTGTGTGTGTATCTGTTTCCTTTTTGTTTCAGCGTCTGTGTTTGTGTCTGTGTGTGTGTATTTCCGTGGGTGGGGTATGGAGGTGGGATTTGGGGGTGGCGTATGGAGGTGGTATTTGGGGGTGGGCTTGGAGGCAGGCCCCCGGGGGCCCAGACTTTGAGCAGTGTTACGGGCCCCAAAATTTCTGATGGCAGCCATAACTGTTGTTCATTTGAGGTTGTATTTACATAATTTTAAAACCTGCTAAGGAACAGATGATTGGTATTATGTCCTAATATGTAAAACCATAGAATTCAGTGAGGGTGTGCCTTCTATTTCCCATGACTGTTTTTCCAATCACTGTATCTGTCTCTCACTCCTACAACCCAAGACATACATCACTGAGCTCTTATTTGACTGGGACCAGCTATCTAAAATCCTCCAACAACATTATTTCATGGTTCTCATATTATATCCCTCAGAAATGATTTTTTTTTGCACCTCTTTCTCCCAGCTAGGCTTTTGAGTTGGAAACCACAAGGCATATTTTTTGACCTTCCTGTGTTTTTTCTTTGTATTTTATGTAGTTTCTTTTTCATATTGTTGTCCTCCCTGGCAGTTACATCACAGACATTGTGTGGCAACTATCATGAAATGGTTGAAATATGATAATTTCACACAGGAAAAAAAACAAAGAAAAGAGTTACATGTCCACTATCCCAAATCCCTGTTTCTTTTTATCGTATGTATTGGGGCCAATACTGTGTACTATGTCTAGTGTGCATTTTATGCTAGTGCCTAATCACTTCATTCACTATAGTAAATCACCCCTTAAACAGGAGAGCAATCACAATGTTTAATCAACCTAATCATGGAATATGCTGTCCTTAGATCTATAGTTCTACCACCCTGTAACGAGAATATACCCCTACACGCAGGATCCAGCTAAACAGAAGCCAATACAGAGGAGAGATACGTCTACCGGACCTTAGAATGGCCGGACTCGACGTATATGAGAGGAGACAGAGCCAGGAACAAACCGAGGTCAAGGGCACAGAGAGACAGCGTAAACTAGGACAAGCCGGGGTCTGGTACACGGAAAACAGCAAGCCGGCAAACAGTACAGATAAGGATAAAGCGAAAACGAAGTCAGAATACGAAGCCAAAGTCAATACGAGAAAACACAACTGAACACCACAAGCGCTAAAGGGAACTGAAACAGAAACCACGATAGGGCAACGAGCTAAGGGAAAAAGGTAAGTTTAAATAGCTTTTAAACGAAAGTGATTGGCTCCTGTCACTTCCACACCCCCAAAAGGTAATTGTATAGGGAGTGTGGTATGACAGGAGCCAATGGGAGCCTTTTGGCAATTAGGCTCCCACTGTCTCTTTAAGAGCGCGCCCGAGACTCGCGGCGCGCTCTTAGTTTCAGGCGGGACACGTGACCGCTTCACGCGGTCACTGCCCGCCTTCCATCTAAAGCAGTCGGATGAGCCGCGCGCGGCTCGTGCAGCCGCAGGACCGCGCGCGGCTTGAAGAGAGGACCGCGACCGCCCCCCGGTTAAGGTAAGTAACGCTACAGTACCCCCCCCTGAGGACACGCCCTCCGGGCGGGTAGGACCAGGCCTGGCAGGAAAACGAGAATGGAAAGAGCGCACAAGACGGGGAGCATGAACAGCATCAGCCGAAATCCAACTGTGCTCCTCAGGCC